ATATCAATTTGTTTGAAAGATTTAAGGAAAAAAAACTTCCACTTCTGACCTGACCTCTTAGAAGTATATTCCTTCCAACACATTTATAAGGAAGGTACCAGTCACCCATTTTACTGATGAGCAAAATGAGGTGTGAGCATCATGTTATTTTTCTAAAGACAGAAAATAAGGCAATTATGAATGCTGAAGAGGACCTCTGCCTACAGATGGTGATCTGTCTGTAATAATAAGTCCAACCTCATTCCTAATACACAAAAGACACACCTTTGGCAGTAATTGTCACATTTATATGAAAGCTGTCCTTTCTTGCTGTAAAGCTGTTGATGTTTCTTCATTTCTCTAGACTCTGAAAAACCTGGATTTTTTTTTCTTAATAGCATATTAAAGGCATTTTCTTTAAAAAAAAATATGTTTGTTATTTCTCTGGGTACTGAGAAAAGGATACATCTCCTACTTTTATGGCTATATTACAGTGGTGTATACTGGAGGCATGTAGACAGAAGAAAGATAACACCAGAGCTCAAAGGTTGCACTCTAAGCTTCAATAAGGAAGGGTGTGGGAAGGAGCCAGGCAGAAACAGAAACTCAACAAATGGCCACCGGGGTTCAATCAGGCAAATGAGGAATTAAAGAGGGATGTTTTTCTTTTCATTACTTTCCAAATTTATGCATACTATTTTTCCCTTCCTCAAGTAATTTGCACACTGCAGAAGAGTCTTTGCAATTTATTCAGTATTTCAGTGTTTAAATACTTTCCTGAACACCCGTGAGTTTATCTTAGAGTTCGTGTACGACTACAAAGAAATATCACTGGGAGGATCTGGCTTATTTCCAGATAAAGGGGTAAGTAAGGCCTTAGGAAAGTTTTCCACTGTTGGCTCAGATCCAGACAATTGACCATTTCTTCAGTGGAAACGTTTTAAGGTTACCAAGTCAAGTCAAGAAGAGAAAGGAAACCAGTGAGAAGGGACTGGAAGGGAGGACTACATTGGAAAGTGGTGTGAAGAATACTTAAGAGGTAACTATCAGTCTGCAAAGTACTGAGTGTGTTTACATTTATCAAAACCCATCAACTTCTTACTTGTCACTTTTGCAATAAGAATGTTTCAAAGGGGCTGGAAACGTAGCTCAATTCATAGAGTACTTGCCTAGCACGAAGCTGTAGGTCCAGTCTCCAGAGTCGCATAAATGGGGCGTAGTAGCTCATGCCTCTAATCCCAGAACTCAAGATGTGGAGTCTAGAAGACACTTGGCTATATAGTTAGTTTGAAGACAGCATGGGTTAATGAGACCCTGCCCACCTCACCCCACCCCACCCCACCCCACCCCAAAATACTGCAAAATAATTACATCAGAGTGATTACAACTCTGATAACAAATGGGTAAGAAATCATTAGAGAGTTTCATCTATAGAAATAGCCACATTATATAATTTAGGTTTAATCCATCAAATAGGTATTTCTGGCTCTCATACTCATACTTGAATATGCTAATGAGGAGAGACACAAATAATTGACAATCACTGAGTGTTTCATATAATGCTGATTAATAGGTTTGAAAAGTATCTTTCGAATGGCAGTGCAAAGCAAAGAAGTCCCATTTTTTGTGTCTGTCATCCAGGAAAATACTGTAAATTGATAGTAAAGGTACATAGTAAAATGGTATTAAAAATACTAGTGAATCAAGGAATAAGAGATTGGTTTCTAGTTTTACCTGATTCTGTAACTGAAGAGCTATGTGATTTTTAGATAAGTCATTTCACCAATAAGAGACTGTTATGTCATTAGTTTGTTTCTTAAGTGTTTTGGATTGCCTTTTAAATATTTATTCGAGTTTTAGCCCTCTTAACATATTTGGGAAGACCCATATGCTTTCACCCATTTCCAAAATTCACAGAACACCTCAGTCTGTCTCTGTCTCTCTCTCTCTGTCTCTCTGTCTCTCTATATATCTCTATCTCTTATTTTTTTCAGGCTTAAAATATCCCTGTGGGAGATTTATTGCTTTGATCTCAAAGGCTCTTCCTATCTTCACGAGTTGACCATGGGGTCTCGTCTTTTCAGAGCTCTAGTACCATCCTCATCTGTAAAACATGGATTTGGAGTTTACTTTCTCTGATCTCTGAGACTCTAGTCTGTAGCTACCTAATTAAAACACAAATGCCATCAGAAGAGACAGACACTTAAACTGCCAGTCATTTCTCTAATCCCTTTCAAACTAGAAAGGCCTTTAAAAGGCCTTCTCTTAGTGGACCACAGGAAATGTCTGAGAGCAAGAGGGAACTCCAGGAGGTGAGAGATAATTGCTACAAAACAATAAACTCAAATTACATAGACTGTTGAAGTTCCTTGCCTTTAATTGTATTTAAGCCAACATTTCAGATAACCCCACAAGTCAGTTAGTTCTCTGCCAGAGAAAATGTCTCTCCCCTCCTCTTCCAGTACAACCTTGTCTGACACTGGGCTAGCCAGATAAGGGAGTTTAGAAAATGATACAAAAGGGTTTGGTGATTTAGTGCAATAGTAGAGCACTTGCCTGGCAACTAAGAGGTTCTGGATTCATTCCTCAGCTTCAGAATGGAGAGACAGAGAGACAGAGACAGACAGACAGACAGACAGACAGACAGACAGACAGAGAGAGACAGAGAGACAGAGAAACACAGACACAGAGACAGAGAGACACAGACAGAGAGACAGAGAGAGACACACAGAGAGAAATAAAGAGCATCCCTGGTATGCAACACACTTTTCTGACTTCCATGCACTCATATACACATGTAGTGTGGGGGGCAGTGGGCTATGAGAAAAGGCCAGAAAGCTTGGTAGAAAGCTCTAGAAGCCCCGGCACCCTGGTCTGAAGAAGGCCATTAGGATGGGAGGCGCTTTGAGCTTCCCAAAGTCATTTGGCTCTCTTAGCTTCAGCTCCCCAAAGCCCCTCCCACGGAGAGGTCCATGGCCAGTGACCACGTAGGAGTAGCACCTTCATGCAGATGAGGCATTCCCAAGCTCTCAGACCAAGCCAATAGGGGTTACCTGCTGCCAGCCCAAAAACTGTATATACTGGCCAAGCTCAAAAGTAAAGGTGTGTGAGATCCTTCCCGCTGTCGCTGTGGAGAGCTTTTGTCGAGGTTCCTCCCCAGTCGCCCGGCCAGCCTGCGCACTTCAAAGAGCTGTAACACTTTTCCCCTCTCTGCACACTGCCTCGGAGGCGCTGAGACGCGGTTTTGGGGCAGGGCAGCAGCGAACTCTCCCTGCCTGCTCATCACCCATGCCGGGCTGCCCGCAGACAGCCGCCAATCGCACCCTGTCCTCAGCCTGGCCAGAGATCCTCGTGGGGCCCATCTGGAAACGGTCCCGCAGTAGTGCACATACATACACTCAGGCACACAGAATAAATACTATAAAACAATGGTTTAGAACAGTATTAAATAAATAGCAACAGCTACAGATACCGAAAGGAACACAAGTAATGCCTGAAGAGGGATGAAAATATGATTTCCAATATTATGAGGATTCAATTTTCAATAAAAATAACTGTAAAATTATCAATGAAGTATAGCACAAACTTTGCAGAAGAAATTACTGGATACTGTGCCTGAGGGGAAACACATAGAGCATACTAAACAAAGACTTTAAGTCCATTATCATTAATTTCCTTAGATGTTAAGGGATCATATAAACATATCTAAAGGAAAGTTAAGAAAGTGACATGTGGACGAATAGAAAACAAAAATAAAGAATGTATATTTGGACAACCTTGACTATATAGTGAGTTCAAGGCCAGTCTGGGCTACATACAACCCTGTTTCAAGAAGAAGAAGAAAAGGAAGAGGAGGAAGAGAAGGAGGAGGAGGACGACAAAGAATGTTCCAATTTTGATCAAAGACATGAACATATCTATCCATGAATCTCAATATATTCTAAGTAAGATAAAATCAGAGATCACATTGAAGCACATTTAAAATGAAACTATTAAGTTAATGGTAAAAAGGAAACCTTTTAAACACTGATAGTAAAGTAACTTGTCACATGTAAGGGACCTTCAATAAGATGAACAACAGACTTCTCACTAAGAGTCAGGGAGGCTACAGGTAATGTGATAACACTTTCAAAATATTAAAATAAAAACACTGTCAAAAGTTGGGCCCAGGGACTGGGGAGGTTGCTCAGTGGGTAGAGTGGCTATCTCACAAGTATGAGGACCTGAGTTCTGATCCCCAGCACCCATGGTAAAGGCCAGGCAGGGTGGGTTGTATCTGTAACTACAGATCTGGGTGAAGATGGTCAGATTCTTGGCACTCCAAGATTGGGCAGTCACTCTAACCAATCCCAAATGCTGAAATTAAAGATGTGCACCATGACAGCCAGCCCTGTTGTCTTCTTTTTCTTAAGAAAATTTTCTTAGATGAACAGAAGTGGCTCACACCTTTGATGCCAGCACTCAGAAGGCAGAGGCAGAAAGATCTCTGAGTTTGAAGTCAGCCTGGTCTATGGAGTGAGTGTCAGGAAAGCCAGGTATACACAGAGAAACCCTGTCAAGAAAACAAAACAATTTTTATTTATGTGTATATATGTTTGCCTGCATAGGTTTGTGTACATTACATTCATGCAGGTACCTATAGAGGTCAGAGGGTATCAAAACCTCTGATCCTCTGAATATGGAATATGGGTCCCTCTAGGACTGCTGAGCCATCTCTCTAGCCTATTGTGGACCTCTTCTTTATGAAGGAAAATATGTTAAATGCTGACACAAATATTATAGAGCAGGGAGCGCCTGGGTCCCCAAGGCAGCCCTGAGTGAGCCCGATGTATTTCCTTATATGATCAGGCCTCTCATAGCCAGTGCTGCTGGTCTGGAGCTTAAGAGGATTATGAAAACGTGGCAGGTGATAGGGTCAGGGGACCTGGAGCTTGGAGCTGAAGGGTAAGGGACCGAGGGTGAGGCCAGGTTTGGGGGAGGGCACAGGTTTAGGGGTACCCACCCCTCTGGCTGTGAGCCCTTGGGATGATGACATGATCACTGCGCAATCTGAGTTCTGGGAACCAGGTGATGGAGTGTGCTGCTGAGGCCAGAAAAAAGAAAGAAAGAAAGAAAGAAAGAAAGAAAGAAAGAAAGAAAGAAAGAAAGAAAGAAAG